GAAAAAGGGAAGACACCTTAGAGTCCATATGATTTTGAGTCAAAAGACATTCCTGAATTTAGTATGGCATCTGGCACTCTGTTTCCAGTCTGACGACTTTCAAATCATGGGTTTGCTTCTGGTGGTAAATAAATGCCTAACCCATTACTGCACTGATGCAGACTCTGGAGAAAGAGAGAAATTAGATATCACTTAAGTGTCCCATTGGTTTGAGGATGGTGCTGCAGATGCTTGAAAGAGGCTTTGTATGAACAGTATAATCTACTTGGAAACAACTCCATTATAACTGGGAGATATTAACTTAAGTGCTATAAATACATCCAGACGACATAAAGAAATAGAAAACTAACTGATGTCATAGCACCAATTCCTAAATTTCATTTAGGATTAATATGGTTACTTCATATATTAGTCTAGGCAAAAATTTATCCCCTTTTTGATAAAAACGTGAATTCTCAGCTATTTATTGGGAATATATCTCCTCTAAGTATTAGGACCATCTATCATGGAGCTGAGGGGGCAAGGTTTAGTTTTTATGATGGTGTGGTCAAATACCTGGCAGATAACTGCAGTTGTTTGTGTCATTGAGACCTCTGCATGCCTATATCCTGTTCTATAACAGTTTATCGAAGTGTGGTCCCTCAATCAGCAGCAGCATCTCTTGAGAGTTTGCTATAAATATAAATTCTAGGAACTTACTCTTCACCTACTGAATGAGAAATCTAGAGGTGGGGCCCAGCCCTCCAAATGATTGTCATTCATGCTCAAGTCTGAAAACCACTTTCCTAGAGGCATTTACACAGACCCTAAGGTGGTTTCATGAATCACGGTGAGAAGCCACAGTTCAAGACTATTCCAAAGGAGCCTTGCTAAACTCTGAACCACAGCTCCCAGTAATTCCTTCAGAAGTCAGAGCAGCATGGAGTCTACATCTCCAAAGCAGTCTCTCCTGAGAAATGATCAGGGTCTTGAGAAAAATCTCAAAATTAGCTACAGGGTGTGAGTCATGTGATGCCAAAATGACAGGCCATTCATTCATTTCATCAACTGATAAACTTGAGCATCTACTAAGCCCTGGTCACATACCTGAGCTAAGGATCTCATAGTCTAAGAGAGAAGATAAGATATAAGCACAATCATATAATATATGGGAAAAATATCGCTTCCAACTGAGGAAATCAGACTAAACTTCAAGGAAAACAAGCTAAAATTGCAGCTGCTGATTATTTAGACAATGAGTAGCCACAGATATATATATATATATTTTTTTTTTTTTTTTTTTTTTTGAGACGGAGTCTCGCTCTGTCGCCCAGGCTGGAGTGCAGTGGCCGGATCTCAACTCACTGCAAGCTCCGCCTCCCGGGTTTACGCCATTCTCCTGCCTCAGCCTCCCGAGTAGCTGGGACTACAGGCTCACACCGCCTCACCTGGCTGGTTTTTTGTATTTTTTATTAGAGACGGGGTTTCACCGTGTTAGCCAGGATGGTCTCGATCTTCTGACCTTGTGATCCACCGTCTCGGCCTCCCAAAGTGCTGAGATTACAGGCTTGAGCCACCGCGCCCGACCAACACAGATATATTTTTAAGCCACCATAACACATGATCAGTGGTAAGCTCTGGGAAGGTAAATTTGGTGACTCTATTCTCCAGAAGGAGAAAGAAATGGAAAGGGAAGACCACTCTAATTATAACAGCTGAGATATGAGTAGAGCCTAACCTAGGATGGAAATAGAATCCAATAGATTTGTACCAACGAATGGCAATGAGATTATTAGTAAAGATAAGGGATAGGTGGAACATGCATCTGAAGTTTTGACATTAAAGAAATGAGATTTGTATGTTACTAAAATTAAAATGTAATAAAAGATGAAGAACAGAGCTTGAGATGGGAAGCTTGTTGTGTTGTGAGCATGTGAAGTGTGAGGTGCATGATGAGAATGCAAATTAAGGTGTTCAGGTTACAGGTAGGATTGGGGGACTGTCATAATTCAGGAGAAATAGAACAGGATCATGCATCCAAATTGGGGAGGCATCTACACAGAAGTGATGTTATGGAAGTTGATGTTATGGAAGGAAAGGATATTTTTAAGGGAAAGTGGGCTGAAAGAAAAATGAAGTGGACCGCAGAAAACATCTTGCAGAAAGACGGTATTTATGGGTTGGAAGAGAGGTTTCCATGAAAGAAGCAGGGTAATCAAAAACATAATGTTATGTCAGCAAAGGTGGTATTTATCTGAAATTTATCAGTATGGGTGGACCAGTTGTTTACATCTCTTCTGATTTCTGAATGCTCTGTTCTTACTGGTGTTCGTGTTGATATGGCTTTAAAATAATCTTAAGCCTAGAGAAGACATGAGGCAATGAACGAAGATCTAATTATTACACAACCCCAATTTAGGGGAGTTTCAACACTTTGCACTACTTTGTGGCAAACTGGAAAAGAACAGATTACCGGAAAGAAAATAGCACATGCCCAAAATAATACTACAATCCACAATCTGGCCTGAAGAGTCCTCCCATTAGCCTGTGACTCCTGAACTACACTTAGTAACACATTCATCTCTTAGGAATGAACTATTGATTTGTCTTCATCTCCTACTAGGCTAGAAACTAATGACCAATATTGTAAAGAAAGTTTAATATCTCACAGGTAATGCATGTGAATAGTTAATGAAAGAGTATTTTAATGAAATATTAACTTATATACTGGCTTTATTGTGTGTTTTTTTTTTTAAATGATTCCTTACTCAACTAAAGTGTTTACATCAATGAGTGGTACAATTATAGATTGTACTGGCCTATGGGCATATAGCCTTGCTATAGCAAATATAATAATTATTTTTGGAGAAAACTGGATTTTGTTTTTTAAAATGTACAACTATATCCTGCCTAAAGAATATAAGAAATGCCAAAATATGACACATTTGGTATGATTGTTTCTCTAAAACTTTTTTCCCCTAAAAGCTGCTTTTTAAAACACTCTTCTATAGCTACAGTTTTTATTCCAGGTATCCTATAGTGGAGTTGTTAGTGCCTTATATACCTGTGTTAACTTTACATGTAGCAAACACTTTTCTGAGTTTGCCCTGAAAAGTTATAATCATAGAATGATTTCTAGATAGCTCAAAGTATCAGACTACTGGAATTAACACACATGTATAAGTCTCAGGAAGTGAGTTTTAGTGTCCTTGAAGTCAAAAGGATTGTCCCAAAGCCACCCAGAACAATGGTCAGGAATGTCCCTCTATCGTTGATGTTTTATAGCCCAAATATTTTAAGTTCTATGCTTAATGCAGAGTTCATTTTATTCTGAAATTTATGAGTGTTTCAATTTAACTTGATCTAATCATCAGGTAATACACTGCCTATCATCAGGGAAGCGCAGTAGAGAGCTAAAGACATTGATATTGGTAGACTCAGCATATCGACAGTATTTAAAATTTAAGTGAACTATGAATCTTGATATCTTAGTCTAAAAAAGAAATTGACGAAAGAAAGACTATCCAGAGGATAGTCTATTTCTTATTCTTGAAACAACAAATGAGAAATCTGAGATGCTATATTAGAAAAATTAAGATAAAGAGGCCGGGCGCGGTGGCTCAAGCCTGTAATCCCAGCACTTTGGGAGGCCGAGATGGGCGGATCATGAGGTCAGGAGATCGAGACCATCCTGGCTAATACGGTGAAACCCCGTCTCTACTAAAAAATACAAAAAACAGCCAGGCGAAGTGCGCGGTGCCTGTAGTCCCAGCTACTCGGAGGCTGAGGCAGGAGAATGGCGTGAACCCGAGAGGAGGAGCTTGCAGTGAGCTGAGATCCGCCACTGCACTCCAGTCTGGGTGGACAGAGCAAGACTCTGTCTCAAAAAAAAAAAAAAAAAAAAAAGATAAGATAACAAATGATAGTAGTCCTCAAACATTTAAAATTTTCTCATGTAAAAAGGGGGGAAAAGTAAGGAGAGAAATTAGATTTTAGAACTAAGTTTCTTTTATTTACATTCTACTTTTTGATTCTTATGAACAAACTGATTAGCATGATGAAAAATAACTTGGCAATGTTTTATGTGTAAGATGAGTGGAGACCAGAAAAATCATGTCTTTTTATAATCATTCATTTTAATAATATTCTCAGTCCCAATATGCAAGAACTGACTCCCAGTAAAAAATTATCCCAAGTTTGGTTTGATTTTCTCCCCAACAGAAAATCAACACAGCACACATAATCTAAAAAATCATTCCTCCACAGTTAAGTCAGTTGCCGTTTTCTCTCTCTTTTTTCAACTGGGTAAAATGGCCAAGGGTAGGATCAATTGAACATAATAACATTTAAAGTAAGAGCATACTGATATCCAAACATACGGCTTTTACAAGCAATCAGGATTCTCTGTGATCTGTGGATCAAAAATGGTGAAATTCAGCTCGGTGCAGTGGCTCATGCCTGTGATCCCAGCACTTTGGGAGGCTGAGGCAGGTGGATTGCCTGAGGTCCGGAGTTCAAGACCAGCCTGGCCAACATGGTGAAACCCCATCTCTACTAAAAACATAAAAATTAGCCGGGTGTGGTGGTGGGCACCTGTAATCCCAGCTACTTGAGAGGTTAAGGCAGGAGAATGACTTGAGCCTGGGAGGCGGAGGTTGCAGTGAGCCGAGATCGCGCCACTGTACTCCAGCCTGGGCGACTGAGCAAGAGTGTGTCTCAAAAAAAAAAAAAAAAAAAAAAAGGAAGTCTGCATTTCATTGCTCTTCTCATTGATTTTTCTCCTACTTTTTTCACAACAACAACGTCATCAACAAATCAAAATATAAACCTTTGTACCTCCAAACTAGTTTTAGAATATTTGACATCATTGAACTCAACAAAAATTAATGAAGGCTTCCTTTTTTGGTCTTTCAGAAATGGGACATTTGGAGATGTTTATGAAAAAAGCGTGCATGTTTTCATGTCCTATTGTTATCTTTGTAGAGTAGTGACTTCGACTTTTCTTTGGAATTTTTTAACAGACAATAAAGATTATGATGCATACTTATCATACACCAAAGTGGATCCTGACCAGTGGAATCAAGAGACTGGGGAAGAAGAACGTTTTGCCCTTGAAATCCTACCTGATATGCTTGAAAAGCATTATGGATACAAGTTGTTTATACCAGATAGAGATTTAATCCCAACTGGAAGTAAGTTAATGTTTTCATTTGAGAGTGTGCATATTCATGTGAGTGTGTAGTCATCACTTTTTCATGGAATTTTAATGTTTGCTTCTTTACTTCAAAATTTGTATCTGTTAGTTTCCCTAGAAAGAAATGTCTGTGTGTGTTCACATGAAATTTAATTTTTGCTAGCTCAGAGAAGATACTCCATTACTGTATAAAGCATCTCATTTTGTGAGCCTTGACATTGAAAGAAACCAAATGAGAGATTTGTACCAGGAAAAAATATTGCTGACGTTAGGAGAAGCAAGTCCCAAACTCTATTCAGTGAACTATTTTCATTTAATTTCTGAAAGAGAATCTACTAGGACTTTCTGGACCAAATTTTCCATTCACTCATTCTGATGCACTCTTTTATCTTTTGTAGCCTACATTGAAGATGTGGCAAGATGTGTAGATCAAAGCAAGCGGCTGATTATTGTCATGACCCCAAATTACGTAGTTAGAAGGGGCTGGAGCATCTTTGAGCTGGAAACCAGACTTCGAAATATGCTTGTGACTGGAGAAATTAAAGTGATTCTAATTGAATGCAGTGAACTGAGAGGAATTATGAACTACCAGGAGGTGGAGGCCCTCAAGCACACCATCAAGCTTCTGACGGTCATTAAATGGCATGGACCAAAATGCAACAAGTTGAACTCTAAGTTCTGGAAACGTTTACAGTACGAAATGCCTTTTAAGAGGATAGAACCCATTACACATGAGCAGGCTTTAGATGTCAGTGAGCAAGGGCCTTTTGGGGAGCTGCAGACTGTCTCGGCCATTTCCATGGCCGCAGCCACCTCCACCGCTCTAGCCACTGCCCATCCAGATCTCCGTTCTACCTTTCACAACACGTACCATTCACAAATGCGTCAGAAACACTACTACCGAAGCTATGAGTATGACGTACCTCCTACCGGCACCCTGCCTCTTACCTCCATAGGCAATCAGCATACCTACTGTAACATCCCTATGACACTCATCAACGGGCAGCGGCCACAGACAAAATCGAGCAGAGAGCAGAATCCAGATGAGGCCCACACAAACAGTGCCATCCTGCCGCTGTTGCCAAGGGAGACCAGTATATCCAGTGTGATTTGGTGACAGAAAAGCAAGGGGCATCCCGTCCCTGGGAGCTTGAGTGGAATCTGCAGTCCAGTGCCTGGAACTAAATCCTCGACTGCTGCTGTTAAAAAAACATGCATTACAATCTCTAGAACACGAGGAAAAACAGGGTCTTGTACATATGTTTTTTGGAATTTCTTTGTAGCATCAGTGTCCTCCTGTTTTACCATGTCTTTTACCATTACATTTTTTGACTTTGTTTTATATGTCGTTGGAATTTGTAAATTTACATTTTTTTTAAAGAAGAGACTGATGTGTAGATAGAAAACCCTTTTTTTGCTTCATTAGTTTAGTTTTAGAATGGGTTTTTATTTTATTTCCTTTTTTAAAGTTTTACTTTGCTTTTAACATTTCCTTGGGGTGCTTGGACAAATCTATCCAATGGGACAAGGAGCACCGGATTCTTTCTCGGGTTCTGCCTAGGATCAACTGGGCCACATCGGCCTTCAGAGAACAATGCAACAAATGCCAGCATTGCCATTTGGGGGAAAAAAAAAAAAAAAAAAAGATGAGAAGAACACTTGTTCATAAGAGGGCCCCACCAGTCAGAGCCCTGAATCTCTTCCTTGTCCCACCTCATTCCCCACCTCTACCTTTCTAACGGCAGCATGATGTGTAAACTCTGTGGAGGGGTGGGGGTGGGTCTAACTGTCTTAACATTTAAGTCACTGCTCTTCAGAATACACTCTAGACCCAAAGGTGTGCTAATCACTTCACAGTGACCACTACAGAGTGCTAAGAAGAGAAGATCAAGGGCATGAAATTGGGGAAGAGTGTTATTTCCGTTTTTTAAATGAGTTGATGTACCCTTATATATATATACATATATATATAAATATAAATATATATAAAAACAACAAAACAAAACAAAAAAAAGAAAAAAACAACAAAAAAAACCAACAAAAAAAAATTCAAGCCCTATATTTGATCACTTCCTGGAAAGGCATGAATGTGTTTGTGGCTGTTTTTGTTTAATATTCTACTTCCTCTTTTCCCTCTATAATTTCTCTGCAAATGAGATTATGTGCAAATGCCAGGCAAGTTAATTCAAAAGAGTGAATCAACGCAAGTCAAAATGAAATTTACACTGAAGGCTTCCAAACCAAAGGGAAGGACAGGATGTGTCATCAAATGTTTTGTCACCTTGTATTATACAAAATGTTATTTTCTAAAGAGTCAGAGAAAATCTGTGAAACTTATTGTGCGACCCCCTTGTAATTAAATGTTAACTCGCTTGTATTTAATTTTCAACACTACATTAAGAATTAAGTGGTTTCAGTTTGTGGACATAAGCAAAACTTATTAATATCAAGGTGTTTAAGAACTCAGGAGGTCAAGCATATGAATACCAACAGAGATCAGTATTTTCAAAATAAACATTATTTATACAAAATAGTTTTTAAATTAGATCAGAAAGTATTTAAAATAATTAATTTTACTGTATAAAGAATTTGCTTTATTTTAGCTATGTAATTCTATCTTTCAGAAAACAGAAAGCTGATGCTCCCAAGAAATTCATCCCTTACCATTTAGCTTTATGTTTGAAATCAATGACATAAGCAGCTAATTCATATTCATGTGAAGGTTGATGCAAAATCAATCACAAAGGAATCTGCAGAGGGCAGAGTTGTTAAAAGGAACTATTACCTATGTAGCTTTTAGTTTTTAAAAAAATCAATGTGATAAAAACACTGATAATAGAACTTATATATTAATTTAGTGATTCATTGTAGGAACTCTCATCCCAGTCATCATCTGTGGGCCTGTGTAGTGACTATTGTATGTTTGCTTTATTCCTACCACCATTTAATGAGAAAACAATTCTACACTTTGGTCACAATAGTAAGGTGGCCACACACACACACACACACACACACAAAAGTGTAAACTGCAATGGGGTTCATTGGGGAAGGTGAGATTAATTTGCAAATATATGAGGAAGAAGTATAAGCATTTGGAACAATGAAAAGGTCTCAGTATCTGTGTGACAAGGTAAAGGAGCCTTGGGATGTGCATTGATTATTATTTGCTTAAAAAAATGTTTATTTCCCTGACAACTCGCCTGGGTCCTTCTCTACAATCTTTTCTTTATTCCCGTGCTCTCCCCTTGGATCTGTGTCACATTTTCACAAACCAGAACTGAAGCTGCAAGGACACATACAACTTTAAGGTCAGCTTTGCACATTGGGTTATTTTCAGAATCTGAGAAGGCCATTGTTTACTTTGTACTATGGACAGCTGTCAGGGACTGGTGGCAGTGTACCTCATTGGACTGGATTCCAAACTCCCCCCAGTGCTCAGAAAACTGTAAACATGGCAATAGCCTCATTTATCTCTTTGTTTTTTAATTTTTCTTTTCAGTGCACGATGGAAGTGTGGAATAAATGTAGAGGAAGTAATCAGACCACAGTCATATTTTAGGCATCCATAGGCATTAATTTAGCTGCATTGGGAGTACATTTTTTGTTCTCTTTTTAGTGTAGATTTAAGCACTTTGAATAGCATGATTCAGGGATTGATGGGTAATATTTGATATTCTCACAACTTATGAAACTTCTTTTTCCTCTAATGCTTTGTCATATTTAAAAAATGAAATAAATGCAAAAGAGGCTATCTATGGCTTTAGAAACATTCCTCCCAAGTATTCCTCTATCAGCTCCATGTGAGAACAAATGAAGGAAACTGTCATGTGTTCACGTGCTCTGTGTTTAACAAAAGTTCTGTTAGAACTCACAATAAAAAGAGAAAAAAATCGATGTCCCCTAGTGCTTAGGTTTCATCCTTCGCTTTTTTCAGTGGGGGCTGTGGGGGATGAGAATATTCTAGTTGTAAAAACACAGTTGAAAGTGTGAATATGTTAGCCAAGCTGGGGGAGAGAATGGACTTCCAGACTTGGACATATGTGATGTTTGGTATTGCCTGTTTTTCATAATTGGCCGCTCGAGCTCTGAACGACACGTTGTGGATTCTAAAGATCATCTGGTTCTTTAGTGTAACCTCTACTTGCTGCTTATGAGCATCCTACCCCTTATTCTGGTGCTCAAACTCTTGCTTATTTAATTTGTACTCCATTCCTTAGGTCTCCTGTGGGCAGAGAAGACATTTGTATCTCATGTAGACAGCTGATTTAAGTTTAGATCAATTCTATGAAACAAATCTGAGACATAATGAGTTAAGAGACCTGAATCTACTATATTTCTATAGCTAAACACTCGATTGCTCAAACAGTAAACCACTTTTGATTATTACTTTCTTCATAGTATATGTATTTGGACCCTATCAGCTTAATCTTAAAATATAGAGGCTGGTTTCTTCCATATTTCATTACTATCTAGCATTTTATAACAAGAACAAATATTAACTGAGAGCCAACCCCTAAACTGTAATCTTGTTTATCCTAGAATAGTCATTAACTTTTCAGATATCGTTTATATAAATTAAGATCACCATTTCTAGGAAAACATCGATTCATACATTTGTGAATTATTTTTGGATTCTGGAATGATGCCCTAGTTCTCTTTTTTCTAAGGAGTATTTTTTTTAATCTTGTGATTAATTTCTTTATTTATTAGGTTAAGTTTTGTATCATTAGTCCCAGAAGAAAGCATATTGAGATTCAAAGGATAGCATCAGCATTATACAAATGAAATGACTGACTGGAAGTAAGAGAATACACAGACATAGAAGGGGAAAATCCCTTCCTGTCTCTGATCTGAACTTGCTTGGTCATTAATCTTATTTTTGACATAGCTGATTAATAAAGGTGAAATATTATTAAATAGGTTAGTAATCCCATCTACAGACAGACACACATTCCCTGTTGCTGAGGAACTTTTCTAACAGTTTATACAATTATTACCAAAAGATGGTGATGCAACTAGAATCCCTAAAAGGAGAAGCTTGTCAATGGAAGCAGAGGCTATTCCTTGCTTTATCATGAATCCTTTACACTTTATTGTTCTGAACAAAGAAGGTAACCAATAATCAAAGTTTGCTTATCCTTAATAGCAGATCTTAATCTTGGGTTCAAGGGTACCTTGGGTCATAAAAAGGAATAAAATAACAAAGCCCTTGAAGTTCCAGATAAAATTGTTAATGTGTGCAAAACGGTGTTCGTCTGGGTGTGAGTCTCAAGATATCTATCACCTAAAAAGCTACTGGTGTTTGGATTTAGAAGGTATTCTCAGAAACTGATATTCAGATAAACCCACATATCTTGCAGGCATTGTTTTGTCTACCACTCTCTACCTTCATTCATAAAAACTCGGGAGATAATTGTTGTTCTACTAGAGACATGTCTCCTTCCAAAATGGCCTGACTTTGTGGGAGACCTAGCATACTGTAAACAAAAATTTTGTATGATGACAAATAATTCATGCTCACATAAAAACTAATTGGCTATCATTGTTGTGATAATCTTTCTCATGTCTTCACCCATTCTAAAAATAGTTTGGGGTGAATGTGAAATTATGTAATTTGACAATGATGTCTTATTTCAGTAAATTTATTTGGGATTTATGTTTAATTATTTTTCCTACAACATAACTAAGAATTCACCCGTACGGGAAAAGAAGAAATAAACATTTGACATGTTTTTCTAAAAAAAAGAAAATCCCACCAAGTTTTTTTATGCAAAGATTTAGAAGTGGCTATATATTTGATTTTCAGCAATTATGGTTTTGCCAGTTTCATAACTTATGATATGACTTTGGATGAATATGAAGAATTTTGAGAATAAAGTTAGGTAGTGGTTATTAAGTTTTACCTTTTACTTGTGATTGGTAGCAAGGTGAAAGGTTATTCTCTGTTAAGAAATTGAGATACTGTCACAAGGAGCTGTAAGATCTAACTAAATTTGAATAAAGCAAGAGAAGGACGATATGATGATGATGAGTTAATCCTAATCCTAAACGAATGTGCCTTATCATCATCAAATTTCCATCACATTCATAGAAAATGGATGTCATTTTGGATGTAAAAAAATTGGAGCTCAATTCCAATCCTCTATCAAGTATCATTTCTTCCTTCCAGGCTCAGAACGTAAAACAAGTCTTCGTGTGTGTGTGTGTGTGTATTTCTCCTGCTCATTGGAAAATTTTTCTCTAAATAGCCTCTGGGTCCACTGACAAACTCATGTTTCTGAATTCTTCATTAAAGTAAGTAAAGTACTATTGTTTTTTCTACCATTCACTATCTTCATTGATGCATTCCCCCATGGTCTGTAAGTCTGAAGCGCATTCTCTTTTTAACAAAGGCAATCACTCTTAAAAAATCATTACACTATGTTCTCTCCACTACTAAATGAATAGAATCGGAAAAACTGCACATGAACTTGAGAATATTACATGTAATATTGATCTGTAAATTTTAACCTTCATAATCCAGATAACATTAAGTTTCAAAGGGCATGCTGTGTCATTAAAAAAAGATTTAATGTGAAATGACATTATTACATAGTGCATGAAAATGTGGCAAAGTAATTTGGATCTATCTTTACTAGTCAATGA